CAATCCTTTCCTCACGTTCCGATAAGCGAAACCACTCTTACTAACATACATTACTCAAAACGCAAATTTTAGCAACACTAATCTTCCAAAACTATCTTCTTCATTTACTTCCCGGTGTACCAAACCTCATTAAAGCGATTTTGATTCTCATCAATTCCGTGAACAACCCAGAACCTGCTACACAAAACAACGCAATGCGATGAAATCATTCATGATTGCCACAATTCACCGAATACACAACACACAAAACACAACGCACCGAGTAGTTTTCCGTGTTGACTTTCATAGACAACCAGTTCTATCGTAGACAACAGCAAAGCCTACTTGCAACACTTCCCATCCCAATACACATCAATACTGCCATAAAACACCAATAAAACATAACACCCTATATCAGTTATTCTGAACAACAAACGTCAATTGCCACGTCCCAAAAAAATGGCTGAATGAATTCAACAACGAAACCGATCAAACTTAACCAAAGAACTTCTCTCACCCACTTAGATCCATGCTGATTTTACATAAATACCTTACCGAATAACACAGAAGTATACCGCACGTCAATTACCGATTCCACATCCACCATTGCGCTCACTATTTTCAAAAACAACTAAACCAAATACCATCACCAAACAGCACACACTAAATACCTAAACAACGAGCATTCAGAGTTCTCATAATTTTCCGATGACACTACCAATGACGCTAAAAACAAATAACCTAAACTACTAATCCCTCATCCTAAGAGACTGAAGTCCATGAATATCTGCATTTCATCACTCTCCTGATGATCATTATGGTACACTCTGTTATTTTTCCTCAGAGGGAATGGTGACAATGACGATGATCATTATGATGATGATGAAAATGATGATGCTACACTTTGAGAGATCAGGGCTACAACAATGATGTTCCGTCGCAGATAGCATGCCAGTCTTTAAACAAGATAATAAAAGGAAAATAAAAGTTAATTATTGATTGTAGTAACAGTTTTCTTTGTGAAATGTTCTCGTGTATTGAAGGAAAGAAATACTTTGTGCAAAGAATAAGACGCATCGATAACCCATCGAAGTGTGTCGATCTTCTAAATGCCAATTTGGAATCCGTTTATTGGAATTTGTGTAAATGAAAATAGTAGAACACTATCGAATATTCAGCGGATCCAATAAATACCCAATGAAAATCCAATAAACGGAATCTTTATCGGTTCCGACAGTTGGATATCCTCGGAAGTTCCACGGAATCCGACTGACAGATCCGACATCGATTCCTCGACCCGGAATCCAATAGAATTGTATCGGATAGTAGGATATTATCAAGTTCCTATAGGATTCGTTGTCGGATTAGTCGACCTGAGCTCAAGTATTTGAAAAAACATTTTTTTTCTTTATTCTATTTTTGTTCTCAATACATCGATGGAACAAAGTGTGCTGATCATAAATATTAAGAATTTTTTTAGTGTCACTGGGATGATAACAGAGATCCATGGCATTTATATATGAGTGAAAAATCAGTTTTTCGTGGAAACCGATCATGAGATTCGTCGAAAACCTTGACAAAACACGTCCATTCGACGCAGAGCTGTTTTCTCTGCTAGAATATGTGATATAATTTCTTGATCAAAACAATTTAAAAATGTTTTGGCTGGGATACCGACTCCAATAGTCATCCCGTGAAAGGCAGCCAAATTTTGGATGCCCACAAAAACTGCATATAGTGCAGCTCAGAACACGCACTTTTGTACCAAATAGGTAACTGAGCGAGAGTTTTCGAACAAGTGAACTTTGGTTGGCTCCTTCTTGAACTATTCCATATATATAAGGGCCCAAATAGATGTGTCCTTCCATGCTAACTGAGTTCTGAAGTTTCACATTGAAATGATTCTGAGTAGAAAGAACTTATTGAGTTACACATTTGGCATAAAAATATTCATGATTGACTGTAAAAGGTGGAGTTTATATGGGTATGAAAAGTGCACTATTTTTTCACTGAATGACTATTTGGATCGGTATTCCAGTCAGAAAACTTTTCAATTCTTTTTGTATAAAAAAAACGATATTATATATTCTAGCAGAGAAAATAATTCTGCGTCGAATGGGCTTTTGCTTGGATTTTGTTAGAGTGTCGTAGTTAGGGACAAAAAATAGCTTACTGTTGTAATTAAGGAAAGTAACTATAATAATGACAACGAAGGGTCTTCATCGTAGACCGCTAATTTCTTGAGAACTATATGAGTGAATGAAGTTCAAAGCATACCATTCGAAAGAGGAGACTTCAAGGATCACGCACATATAAATATACTTTTATTCGAAAGTAAATTGGCCACGAACGAAGTTGAACAATCGAAGTGAATTTTTTACTGTCGTAATTAGGGATATTGACTCTACGTTGTCGTGGTATAATATACAAGAATGTGTGGTTGTAGAATTTGGTGCGATTGTTAACTGTTTTTCGTATTATGACACTACTGTGATAATGAGTCTCAGTTAATGAAAGGGAACCGTTAGCATTTATGGGTACAATTAAAGAGAAGATTTTCTTTTTCTTTTCGTACTCGTGTTATCTGTTGTTTTAGGACATTCGGAATAGTTCATTGAATATTCATTTTTCTCTCTCTCTATCATCATGCTTTCAGTAGTCTTTGAGTTGCATATGCTGTGACATCACTTGATTCAACTCTTCCGGCACTACATAAACTTATCGAATGCATTGTCATAGACGACGTGATCCAGATTTTAATCACAAACTAGTTCATGGTAGATAAATTATCAAGAATGAGAGACTTTCATATGCAAGACATACAGGAAGTTGTGCCCCTGTCAACATCAGCTGATAATCCATCATCATCGTCATAAAAGCCGTGCCATTATTGTTTTTACTAATTTCTTTATAATGAGTAAACAAAGATGAGATCAAAGCAAAATAAATAATCTTATCTATAATCTTGATCCTTAGCCCTTGGTTGACTTTTTTTTTAAAAGATCATAACCAATGAGACACATTAAATCATTACAATTATAAGAATACCATAAACAAACAATACATAATCTAGTTAATTCATATTATGCGTGGTTCTCACTTATCATTCATTTATTGAGGATGAATAATTAATTCATAATTTTATTAATGGTATCTCGACATTGTACAAATATTAAAAGAGTTTGGGTCAATGAGATCAGTATAGATAAACTTTGAAACCTCCATGATAGGTTCGATGAGTAGTTCGCACTTGAAGCGTATCTATATTGCTTTTACTCTTTGCTCTATTATCTAGCATCTTGAATATCATTAAATATTAAATACTCGAAAACATTTTCCTATCTTTTGTTCATTTCCGACTTCTTGAGCACATATCGATTGCTCAAAGTCCGATTTTTTAGTAACTGTCTATCTTTCTTCAACCTTGCTATAGAAGATACTTTATTTCAGCTTATCGTTCGATGTAATTTAGGAGCGATAAATCATCGTCTTTTTTTATTATATCTAGCACTAGGATCATTAAAGAAAGAAAGAAAGAAATATAGAAACATCCTCGATGACAAATTTACATGTATTTATAAAATTATATCTTTATTTGATCGTAAAAAGAAAGAGTTTCATCAACGATGAAAACAAGATGATTGACAGTAAAGGCAAATGTTTGTAAATTTCACAAGAAATCGAAATATGGATATGGGAAACTTGTATGTAAATTTCATTTATTAGGATTGATGACTCAACAAGTATAAGATATTGAAAAACAATTATGAATTTATGGGGGGCAAAGTGGAATTCTACACTAGACATACTGTAAATGTTTTATTTGTTGCAAATCTTTGATGAAAATTATATTTTCTACTCAATTCGCTATTTGAATTCTTCATCTGAATTACTAGTTTCGATAAAAACGACATAAATCTGTATAGTCAATCGTTAGAATCATTGTATCCTTCTTTTAGTCCCACTCATTAATGAGAATTTTTCTGATTCTTTTCTGAATCTATGAAGTAGTGTGTTTTGTTTATTACTTGACATATAGAACATAAGCTTGCTGCTAGAAAAAATAAAAATACTTGACTTCGATCCTTTTTTTTGTACTTCATCTCAATGTAAAAATGAATTAATTTGACCTTCTGAATAGCAGTTATGTTGCTTTAACACTAGAAATAAATACACGTTTTTGAGGGCATTAGCGAAGAAGAAACAAATGTGAAGGCATAAATTTTGAAAACCTTTTTTATTTAATATTGCATCTTGATCCAAGTTCAAAATCTATAATTACCCAAACATGCTATTATATTTTATCGTTGACAATATCTTTTGCATGACCAGAAAGTGGTTAAGAATGATTTTAATGCGCTAGATAATATTGTTCCTCTTCCTGTAACTTACTTAATATGAATTATCAGTCAGCCATAAAAAGATGTACTTTTATGTTGATCATACATGCGATCACAGATGTTCTACTACGTATTTTATCATTATGGAAATCTTCTAATTAAACGTCAAAAATAGAATATTTCATTTCGATGATAATTAAAATGAAATGATAATAAGCTAAAAACAACGATACCGTTTTTCTTTTCAAAAGTTAGATCTTATTTAAATAAAAATGCTGTTAGCATGCTAGGCAAATTATTTTTCCATTCGATTGCGCGTCAAACATAATATAAAATATCATCCGGAATAAAATGGTAGTTATTTTTTTATAATCATTGGGTCTATTATATAATATCCTGATTCAAGTAAAAAAAAGTTTCCATAACTAATGATGTACGTTTCAAAATTTGGGAGAAAATAATAAAATCTTGTTTTTCGCGGAAAAAGAAGAAATGATTTATTTATTATTCTTTACAAGAGAATAAATAGTGATGAACATGTTTCCTTTTTTTCCTATGCTCATTAGTAGTGAATAATAAATAGATGAATATTAAACAAGAAAAACAACAGAGGCAACTATAGTAGCAAAGCGAGCACATGTTACATTTTTATTTATAAATATATTTCTTAGAATGCAACAATTATCTCAGCACCGATTGTTGTTCAGTTGATGGCGTAGTTATTAAAGGTAACTCATCGATGAATGATTGAATATTTTCAAAATAATCAGGCATGATTGGTAAGTCATTGTGTTTCCCAAATGGGTACTCAGATAAATGACGCTTCCGAGCTGTACGTGTTTCATTATATAATGTATTTGACATCCACGTAGGAATAATAGGATCAAGCAAACCGGTTAAATATAGACAGGGACATTCTATGCGACGTACTTTAGGTAATGAATCAAATAAATAAATAAAACCAATTGATTTTGTAACACCAATAACATTTTTAGCGTATGTTATAAAATATTTGGCTATTTCTGGTACTGAAATAAAAGCATTTTCGAATATCGCTAGTTTAACACGATTTAATGGATCACTAACAAGTTGTATAGCAACAGATGCGCCAAGACTTGTACCAAAAACAATTATATTTTCGGGTAAAATCTTTTGTTTATATACTAAATAATCATATGCTGTTTGAGCATCTATGTAAAGACCAAGTTCGGTTGGTGAACCAGAACTTTTACCAAAGCCTATTTGAAATAGAATTGAAAATTCTTCAATATTAGTTAAATATTAGTGAAGTTTTTTTATCTCACCAATCAGGTACGTGATACCCGATTCTGCATTCTAACAAACGAGAAAAACAATAGAATACTGCCGTACAACTGACACTAATGTATATATAATGTTTATTGTTTTCCAGAGCGAATAAACCTGATAGTATACGACTCATGTCTAAAACCGATATAATTACTTTTTCCTCCAATTTCTGACGTACTAAGATGAGAAATGACTGTTTGATCGATCGCACAGGATACGCTCAAATTTTCCTCATAAATCTCAATCTTACAATAAAAACTCTACAGTGATTATTCCAGCGTTCAGTTTACATGAATATAAATTCGGGAGCCATTCTTTCATTGGACTATTTTTCATAGATAGACTGTTAGCTGAGAAAAATACATTTTCAGACTTCTAATAATCTATTATGCAGATAATCTTATCTATTTTTAGCATTCATCTTATTCTAATAGCTATTTAAGACAAAACAAGATTTTTAAAATATACACGTCTGTGTATCTTATCGTACAATTCTTTGATCGATAATTTCCTGATATATTTCTCAACCTTACATGTATATGATTGACATCCTTTCTTTTTATTACACGTTTTGAACATATTTCGAAAGATTTCTAATTGTCTACTTACCTCGATAATCAATAATTAAAATATTACAATGAAGATTATCATGAAATAATCGTACAACTTCAAGTCGATGTGAAATATTTCCTCCTGCACCATGCAAATATAAAAGTGTTAATGTTGAATTGATATCGTCTGATTTTGGTATCCAATAAGAATGTATGAATTCTCCGTCGAGTGTTTGCAAATAAATCGATTGATAATCCATCTGAAAATCTTCTGGAGATCGATCTAACGTATGCGTATTTTCAGGTTCATGATTGGAAAAAATATGTTTACTTTGAATATTTTCAGTCATCATTCCTAAGTTTATAAATAGTCAAAAGTAGGATTAATAGGTTTTCGTTTTTTTTTTTGTCTGTTAAATCTCAACTCAACAAAAGCTTACCAAATAGACCTTTATCTTTTCGCACGCAAGAATGAATATAATCAAGTTGTTTGATTAGTTTATTCTCATTTTGAATATTTTTATTGGATGCTGCTTTCTCATCGTTGATTAACATATCTGATAAAGGTAAAGCACAACGTAAACTACGAATATCAATTATTTCAGCATCAGTAGGCATCATTGATGTTGGTCTTGTTAATGATGTCTTTTTTTGACTACTACTAGTTTTACTAGTATTAGTTAATGATTGACGTCGTGTGTAATCACGTAAACTACGAGACTTTTTTAATTTTGGATATTCAGTAAGTTCATCGTCTGTCGTTGCTATTGATCGAATCGGATTTCTTTGAGGAAAATTATTACCCATGTTTGTTTATAATGTAGTATTTGTATAAAAACAAATTTTTTTTAAATCTGAAAGAAACATATTCAAATATATTCATCTTGAACGATTAAACCCGCTCTATTTCTTTTTCGATCGCTTAGTTAAACGTCGTAATTGTCGGTCTAATGCAATCGATGAGTAAATCTCACATTTTCATGTCTGCCTGAATTACTATACTTCATCACTTGGTCTCGACGAACGAACAAACGAAAGAAATGAACAACACTCGAAGAAGAGAAAAAGATTATCCTATCTTGATCGTTGGTAAATAAATGCACACATATATCAGCAACTATTAGCTTCTATCAACATATACAAGCACTAGTATAATCTTTGATGAGAACAAAAAAGAAATAGATCATAAAATGTGCGAATTACGTATACTAACGTAAAATAGAATAGGTGTGCAATTTGAATGCTTACTTCTAATTTCTATGAGATCAGTGAATACAATGGCCTGGTAATGATCGTAGATTTAAGTACAATAGAATTATTTATTCTCTTGTTTTTATCCAGACAACCATCACAAGTTTTCCTCACTGTTCCTCTTTTACTCATCCATAAGTATATATTGCATCGAACGCATCAGTCTACTGCTGTTTTCTTCCTTCTGTTTTTTCTTCCTCTTGTTCTCTTCCATTCTCATTTTTCTTTCCCTTAAAGTCGGTATGTTGCCTTATTTTATGGGCTCTTTTTGCTAACGCCATCCGGCAAACGAACAAAAAAGGAGTGCTTGTCTTCTGTTACCAGCAACAGCAGCAGTAAACATCAAGAATACTAAATGCGTTTGATTGCACTAATAATAGCCTCCAAAAAGGAAAACTTGAACTGAATTATTTGCTCAGTGTCTTAATTGTATACATTATTTTTTCCAAAAAATAATGTAATAATAATAGAAGACGCATATTTATATCAAAAGAAAACACTCAGGCAATAAAACATGCGTATGTAACTACATGTTTTATCTGTCTTTGCATATCTATGAAATCTGATCGGATATTGATATTTTTGATGGTTGATAGTTTGGATGAAGTTAATCAGTGTACTAGTGGTAAAATGACGAAAGAAAAAAGAATGAAAATCCATCCTATCAGCGTAGTACAAAATTTCATTAACCTCATAAAAAGTCGAACGAAAAAGAAAAACGAAGAGAAGACTATCGATTCAATTGGTTTTTATGAAGACAGTGAAGAGACAGATGCAATTTAAATTTGAAAAGAAACATGCTTGCTTTTTATAATAAAGATATAGCTAGACTATAGGACCTTGCTCGATAAAATGAAGACAGCGCGTGCAAGGGTTGTTGTGTAATAAGATGACGTTCACTTGCCGTTCGAAACAAAAAAAGAAGGAACGAGGATCATACACAACTCTAAACACGATGATGAAAACAACACGCTCACACGTTCGTTTTTTGTCATACTTATCATATTGCGACATCAAAGTTGGACAAATGTGTTTTGTAAGATAATGATAGATGTAGAAGATATCATATACAATGAGAGTCATAATCTTCGATATACATGCACATATAGGTCATTTATATGCTTGATAGACTTTTCCGTTTCGAAGATTAGTACCTTCATTCCAATCTAATTTCATTCGATCAATTATCGTATCGAATTGTTTCGCTACCATTTCATAACAGCATGCACCAGTTATATGCTCATTATCCATTCGGACTTCTTGTATTGCATTACTCATGTTAGGACTTGTCTCTTTTTGATGAAATTCATTAACTCTTTCATAGAAAACCTATTTTAAATAATTTACAGAATACAGAATTTCGGGCATAATGTTAGATTGATTCCTTATTAGATCGACAACATTTTTGGAAAATTTTGCTATTGATCTTTCTTTTCCGTTAGTAGTCTGAATAAAAGCTGTCAAAAGTGACATATCTCGATTGATCCCGTAATGTCCAAGAAAATATTTAATAGCCTGACCTTTCGATCGATTAATGAATGCTTCCGTTATAGCTAAACTTGATATATCATTAACTATGTTTCGTAATGGACGCAATGTAAGTACATTTCCATCTCGAGGTACTAATTCCGGTGCATGTTTAATAGTAGATGCAAGTATTTGTGCTGCATGAATATGATCAATACGAAAGTTTGCTGGAATATTTTCATTATTCTCTAATTTGAGTTTAACTTTTGTATATGGATCGATATGTTCATATCTCTGAACGATTGTTTGAGTACGTATTTTATTTGAATGTAAATCCTTTTCTCGTAAATATGCCGCTAGATTAAATATTAAATCGATTGATAATAATTTATTTGTGTCATTTAATTCTTGTTTTGTAATAAATGATATATGATGTTTACTGGAACAGTGCTGCGAAAAATTACGCTGTTGTATTGTCTTACCACGCATACAAGTTATTCTGGTGCAAGAATTGTTGGTCATGATTTATGTTTTTTTCTCTTGCATTTAAATTCTACCTACAGATTTTTCTTATTGATGAAGCGCTCCGATTTATTTGCCAATCTTGTATTTTTTTTTCATTATGACGCATGTCTCTTTTTCTTTCTCTCGTTTTTCTTTTCGTCATTTTATATCCTGTCAAATAAATGAATAAGAAAATGTATTAATAATCGATTGTACTGCACAAAAAAAACCTATTCAAATGCACCATCTATTTATATTAATAATATCGTATTATTTCATTATAATTATATTGATGATGATCAATAGCTCTCAAGTCACAGATGTCTTAACTAACTAACAAAATAAAAAGAGCCATTGAACAGTTACTGAAGTGTTATGAAATGAGAAAACAAAAGAACTCGTTCTGATGTTAATAATTATGATGGTGCGGCTTCTTGATGTAAATTTTAATCAAAAATAGCGTGAGAAAATGGAAGCAATTATTCAGATTATTCACTGATATATTTTCTTACGAGGAAACTATTGACTGATATTTGTATCTATCCGTTCAAAGGAAATGAGTTTCCTTTTGCAATGAAATTAAAATACACATAGTTACAATTTGATCCTATCATAACGAAGAAAAAGATCCTGTTCACTACAATCTATTCGTCTGTTTTTGAATTTATGCTTCATTGAGCGAGAAAAAACCGATTGAATTATTGTTGCTCGAAGAATCTTTTTTCCTTTTTTCTTGATCTTTGAATCTGAATCGTTAATGGCGAGGAAACTGTTGTTCTTCATAGAGATGAATTCTTATATTTTTTTTTGTATCTTCTAGTTAAACAGAAAAGAAATATTATGACTGATTATTATTATTATTTCAATACCGAGAAATCTATGGATGAAGCTTAATCAATATTACTTTGTATTACCAAATAGAGAAGACGAAACATGCCAACTTAAAGAATACGAGAACACGGAGGAGCATTGTCTTTGCTGAATAGTAGATAAGTTTAGGGAGCCTTGAACTATAAGATTTCTATATAGTTTACTTTCAAGTTTACATGTAGAAAACTATCAAGTCATACAATGAAAAAAATTTGAATGTTAAGCATTGGAGAATAAATCCGAGAGAGATAATTGTTCAATATGAACCTTCGTACATTAAAGACTTTTAGCTTGTATAATGTTACGGCTTAAAAATATTTTTAAAGATCAATGATATCGACTAGGTGACTTGGAGTACTTAAAACGAGTTCTAAATAGGACCTTTTTTAAATCTCTCTGTGTTGTCTATTAATGATTCTTTTCAGCTTTACTATGTCAACGGATCCTATTTTTGAAAACTTCAATATAATATTTGTAGATTATTTTCAGGATGAAAGTAAACATCACTGATCAGCTCAACATGATGAATAGCTCATTTTACGTAATCTAGGATCAACTAGGAGAACGCTAAGATCTTCAGGAGGATACTTTGATTCTTGAATAAATAAAATCTAGAACTATCGATCGTGTTTGCTGCAATAAAAGAACATTTTTCTCTATTGAATAAAAGCGTGAACACTTAGAAATTGAATCTTGAATATTTAAAATCTTCACACCTGTTCAACGGGCCACTTGAAAGAAAAAAGGTTTTTTTTCCCCGTTAATTTAATGTGAACCGACCGTTACTTTTAGTTCACGAGCGTCAATTCACAATGTCTTTGTCTTCGCATGACGCGCTTCTTTTTCTTTTTTCGCAATAGACAGTAATAAACTTTTGTTTTCTTTTTAATTAGTTATAAATGGAACTAACTATTAGAATATAATAGCAGGCATTTTCGGAGATAAAATTCTTCTAGAATGTATGAACATTATGTTTCTTGAGTTGACATGAACGTAATTTGTTATTAATATTTCAACATTTTGTCTTTTTGAGAGGAATTAACTTCAATTTCAATTAACTCTATTTATTAATGTTCTAAATAATGACAGAAAATAGAAATATCATTTATATTTATTAATAGAAACATGATGAAAACTCAGACACTGTTGTTATTCATCGACATTCGCATAGACAGAATATATTCATCATAAAAATTTACACTGAACGCTTATTAATATTATAAAAATAGCAACCATGTGCACGCAATGGCGAACAAAACTAGCTGCCTCTCTTTTATGAACCATAAAGAGCCATTATAATCTCGAGCTAATTATTTGAGTGCGTGAGAGTGAGACTAAATCTTAATCGCAACCATCGACTGATTGATACTAATATTAATATGGTTGATATAGATTCTTTTCATTTTGAAAAAAAATATATTCCATTGAGATATACACCCAACAAGCTTTTTATTTACCATTAAAGCGATTTCAAAAACTATGATTGTTTTTTTCTTTCTTGAAACGCTATTGAAAATGCTGGAACTAATTTATTTTCGCGAAACTTCTACAAAAATTTTAAAATATATTCTAAGTGAGAATACAAAAGCTTAGCTAAATTCCTACAATAATGTCTAATGAACTGATAATTCATAAAATATTTGATAAGATACTACTAAAATCAAGCTTGCAATAAAATGTCTACTAAAGTTAAAAACTCTTTAACATGATGCATTTGTTTTCTTTCAAATTATTTGGGAGGGAACAGTTGTGAATTCATCTCGTCTAAAATATATTATTGTAATTCAATATGATAAATTTTGATTCCTTTTTGTTTTACATATAGAAAAGAGCTTGATCATAAATGTTTTGTCTAGATCACGAAAAATCATAGAAATTAGCTTTCGTCTGATATTTAAATCATCGATTTGACATATAAAAGACTAATTGATAGAAAATTTTATTCCAAATATATCATGAACTTTATAGAGCTGCAGGGCAATTTTGTTAGAAAAGTTCATCAGTGAAGTGCATTCTATTAATAGATCATGATTTCGAGTAGAATTAAGTATTTTTCTCTGAACAAACCTCACCAAAAAATAGGTAATACCAGAAAACGGTATGAAAAATTTCTTATCGACTGTTATAAAATCAGTAATTAGAATGTTTCTTCTTTTGCAATACATTATAATATAGTTCTCTATTGTTACACCAGGAACATATTGTCAGTGTTTTTTTATGACCTTGGCCGTACATTTCAGATCAAGTTCTTTGATGAAATTTTTCACCGGCCATTGTGTTCTGTTTAATAGAAAGAAAAAAGGCCACGTCTTTATGATATTGTATCGCACCAACCTGTCAGCAACGAAGTTAGAGCAGAACATTGATCCCGTTTGATACGTATGTATTTAATATTTTTACGACATATAGGAATAAAATCAATGGTAATTTATCGTTGGCCTTTATTTCAAAGTTTAAACATATTTGCCAGGTAAAATTTCACACGGGACTTTTTGATACACAAATGATAAAACAAATGTCGTGAGACAAAAACAAAACGTGCAAATCATCTATGTTTATCAAAAATATTTATCTCGTGACATATTCTCATGTAATAGTAAACAAATATATTTATTACTATGTGAGCAATAATTTCACTAGCAAGAAAACAACAAATGAAAAAAGTATAAAAAAAAGCGATCCATTGAGTTTATAAGAACCAGTTTGCTACAACACTACTAGAGTAGTTAGCTGTTTTGCAATGATAAGTTTATTTCAATTGAAAATCATTTTTATGATTCAGTATCTTTTTCATTAAGACATACAGTTCGTACAATGATATCTGTCACAGCATATGGGTCACAGTTCGATGCGGGACGACGATCTTCCAAATAACCACATTTATCTTCGCCAACTTGACGAGGAATTCGAATGGATGCACCACGATTTGCAATACCGGCATTGAATTGATTGATCTNTTATATGTTTCACACATGACAAGTTTGTTTTTACCGAGCATAAATGGATCGTTGAAGATCGACACCGGTTTGAGATAGATATCGGAATTTGAACCTTCAGCTTGTCCAGTTGATGAACCATCGAAATTCCACCATGGAATATCAGCTGGTGACTTTGGTTCCTGATCAAGAGTTCGAGTCTTAGCTAACGAATAATAATTCAATTAGGAAACTGAATATGCGGTCAAGTCGACCAATAATGATAGGTTACCTCGGACATTCTCTCCGGTACCATCAATCCAGATGTATGTAGCCATAACCTTGTTGTCAGGTTGAGGTAATGCTAAATACCGATTGAGAACAGCTTTGTTCAAAGGTGAAACATAACTTGATTTTAAGTCCATTGCTCCGATAGGGCAAATGTATTATTTAAATCTGAAAACAAGAAGGAAACAATTCGAATCATCGAACTAAATATTAATTCTGTATTTAGTATTGATAGATATAAGAAACAAGATTATGAGAATTTTGCTTTCTGGCACTACCATAATTTTGTCCTTATATAGTTCCACAAGTCTATGATCTCGTATAAAACATACAACATTGTGGTAAACAGAAAATATTATTTTCTCCCATTTACTTGTTTTTGCTTTTCTGCTGCGCTAAAATTATTGTAGTTTGTGTATACGATTTATCCATGATTGATGTCAATTTTCTTCAGTACTGACATAAGAGAAGAGGAAAAAAAACAGAAGAGCAAATGGCGATAGCAATATATTAATGATGTTGAAAAAAACAAAAGTAAGAAAGTACATTTGCGCTTGATACGTTGTGGTCCTATATCGTGTAATGTTTTTCGATGAAAACAGAAAGAATTTGATAAAATAAAGGAAAGAAGTTTTCTCTCCCTACTGCGAAGAAGCATAGGAAGCAGAGACCGAAATCGAATCGAATTGCCGAATAATTCGGTTCGATTCGATTCGATTCGGCTATTCAAAATCATTTTCTTTGTTCTGGTGTTAGGCCCCAAACAGACCAAAAAAATAAAACAGAATTAAGCAACGTGATTGGTTAATTCACACTTAAGTCATCTTTTCGAGACGATTTAGTGGTTAATTCTGTTTTATCTTTTTGGTCTGTTTGGGGCCTTATGGTCGAGGGCAGTTGACTAGTATAAGAGATGACGAATGAAAAAGGACGTCCACTGTTTCTTTTTCTTTGTTTCTGTCAGTCGTGCTTATTTAATGGTCATCCTTGTTCTGTTCATATCGGTATCATGGTCCAATGCATTTTGATTGGTATAAGAAATGCTCACTTACAACGAGCGTTCCGTCTTTCGTTCGTTTGTTTCTTCTTTTTTTTCGTTAGTCAATTTAGGCCCCAATCACACTGAGAAGTAAATTAACATTATAGTTGAATTAAGCCATGTGATTGGTGCATTAAGAGTTAAGCAATACTTTAGAGGTGATTTTAACTCTTAATGCATCTATTATATTACTTTATAAGACTTTAACTTTATTCACATTTCCAGTGCGATTGCGGTCTTGATATCAACCTCTTTATTTATTAAGTATGACTACGGTCAACTGTAAATATAGATCCATATACAGTAAATGACATTATTTTTCTCTGTTCTAGAGAAAATAAACTTATTTAATTACCCTACTTAGATGTGTTCACTAATTTATATTTTATGTATTCTTTTTTGAAAAAATGAATAATTCTTGTGTATATATTGATAAATTATATGTATTCAACATATTTCTATAGAAGATTGACAGACTATTCTCATTCTAAAAAGATGACAGTCTGAAAACAACAATACTATGTAATAGTGAATACCATGTTTTGTAAGCCCAATTTGAGTCGAATCCAATAGAATGGCACGTTTGTCATTCGTTTCGGCCTCTGATAGGAAGTACACAATAACTTGAGAAATGGCACTATCTCAAACTTATGACAGTGACAGTTATTTTTCAGTAATGGCATGATGTCAGATAAGAAGAAAAACTCCATAACTGCACTTAACTTGTTTACAAATCGATTTTGGTACAATCATCACGATCCTACTGTTGCTATCGAAGAAAGAATAAACTAAACTTCTCTGACTATTTAACCTAACAGATATAAACACAAGTAAAAGAAAAACAATATTGTTTTTCTTTTGCAATACGATTTCAACCAACCAACATTATTATTCAATTCATCATGTTATTATTTTACGATAAGAGAAAATATCAAAAATCTCAGTATCGATTCTTCTCTGACTAAAAATCTAGATGACGATGACATCATACTGATCGACTTGATATTCCACACGTTGATGGTGCAGACAAAATAAAAGAGTCAAACATAGATGAATATACCGAACTGCTACTCTATAGCCCTAGACGATCAAGAGTAGTATGAAGTGTAATAGCAAAACAAACTCCTATTCGAACATCTAGAATAGAACATATAGAAACAGGTTGACGCTTGACGATATGGAAAAAAATATTACTAGTTTGCACATATAACCCATAGCAATATTTAGAATTTTGGATGAAACGTTTTAAAGTTCACACATACCTAACACGAGTATTCGCAATGATATTCTTTTACACTGCATGCATCAAAAATAGATCCAAAATGGTGATGTCAAAAAACATCAGAAGGGCATTCGAGAGTCAAAACTATTTATATGAATACATGATATATATTTGATTGTAAACAAATCAAACTGTTTTTTTTTTCATACGAATTAATCATCAATCACTCATTATTTATCGCTTTATATTCTACATGCATATTTTGGCATGATGATGAGAGGATTAGACAAATATTAGATCGGTGACATAATGCTCGTTTCAAACGGGAAAATGACGTTCAGGTCAAAAATGCTTAAAAACTAAACTTACGATACATCCACTAAATAAAAAAACAGTACGAAAATATCCCATTTCCCCAATAACGTCAAACCACTGTAAAAATGAGTTTGCAGCGGGAAAATGAAAAACTCCATGGGAAAAATAGTTCCGATAAATGAAACATCATTTTTCCCATAGAAGAAAAATGATATTGTGAATGATCTTTAGTAAGAATATGTCTATTCGCTAGCAGAAAAATGAGTTTGCGACGGGAAAATGAAAAACTCAATGGGAAAAATAGTTCAGATAAATGAAACATCATTTTTCCTATAGAGAAAAATGCGTTCGTATGTAATTGAAATGAACGTACAGGTATTCGCAATAAGAGAAAAAGGAATTTGCACGCCCTAGTCGAACGTTTTTTTTGCAAGCGTATGCAATTCTTGACTTTCTTGATCAAGAAAGTCAAGAACTATGGACACATCTGGAGGCAAGACATGAGCCCTTTCGGTGAGCTCAAGTTCTTAAATTTGTTGTTCATGCGCTTGAATTTTTTTCTAAGCGTTTCTGTTATTAAAGAACCTTTTCAACTTTTTTTCAATTTTACATTCACAATAACTCACCTTTTAATAAAAATTTAGAGTTGCATTTTTTTGGAACTCATGCAAACATTGAAGCGCTCGTCTTGAGCAAGAAAGTCATGCGCTATGGACACATATTGAGCTCAAGTCTTACAAGCTTATGAATAAAAAAGTTCAACTAGGGAGGTACTAAGGATGTTGGGAAAATTTACAGTCGGTTAGATTATGGTTGACTTTGGTTGAAACAATGATGGGTAAATTTGCATGAAGATGGGATGCCGTAAATCATTGACGATATAAGCGAAAGTTTTCATAGTTTTGTGGTGATGCGTGACGAATTTCAAAGAGCTGAGAAGAAATTTGTTTTCCATGAATCGTTGGGAAAGAAGGAATATGAAGAATGAAAATGAAAACTACTCATATTTGGTGTTTGTAAAGTTCTGTATAACATGAAATATGTTGTATATGCACGGATATCTTTTCTGAACAGTGACGACATAAGTACTCGATATGAATTTAGTATACACACGCTGACTTATACTTATATAGTGTCTTCTGTTATAGACAGAACGGGAAAAGAATTCATTTTTGACCTGAACGGCATTTTCCCGCTTGAAATGAACATTTATCTCACCGATTGATTTTTTTGTCTATTGCCGTTAAAGACCTCTGTTTTGTACACGAAATATATTTTGTAACAGCGCTTTTTGAATGAACTTGTTCCAATTAACCCGTTCTATTATATTATATCAGGCACAGGACTACCAGCCGTACCCCATTTGAGCTTTTTGTACCTAAAAAAAATTGTACTTCTGAGGTACACATTTTGTATTCCATCTGCATTTTTCATTGTTACGACTACTATCATCCATATTGTGGTTGAAATGCAGAAAATTTCTGTCTCTTTATCCGACATTTACTATTGGTAAAGATGTGAAGCGTGAATTATATTGGTTGGCTGCTAATGGTCATGTTTATTCTCTCTGTTTATTCTGTTAGAAAACAAACGTTTATATACGCACGCGAAAACAAGGACAAGAAAAATAGAGAAAAACGAAAAGACAAAAGAAAAGAAATAGATCGAATCGAGGTATATATGTTATAGTAGAATACACCCTAACAGAGGGTAACGATCATTAATTAAGATCGACATATATATTAAAGTGATTGGTCACCTTCTCCACCAATACCGTGCACCATTACGCTAATGACACCACCACCGTGCTGGGGGAAGGAATCGAACCTTCTGATCTCTGAATTCAGATGCATAGAGTCACTACACCATCCCCAAGTAGGCATTGTTTTATTATGATTGAATTGAATATATGTATGTCAAAATGAAATTTTATTGTGAACATATTTATGAGAAAATAAAGATTTCAATTTGAAAGCTAGTCTTTAGAGTAAAAAGAAAAACTGAGAATGTCCTTTCCAGATTGAAAGTAGTTTTCGAAACTGATTTCCGTCGCTGATGAGTAGCTTGAAAGATGTAAACTGCGTACCCCACGAGTGTACCCCATTTACAACTGAGTTGTACCCGACATGCAGTGTTTTTAATGATTAGTGTACTCCAGCAGAACAAAGTGTACGCCCATGTCGCTCAAACCGATCGAGAAAAATCGGTTAACCGCGGTTCGTTTTTTATAAAAATCGGTTAACCGCGGTTACGCAAGCTATTTTAGCGACTTTACAGTGTAAAAACCGACGGT